GAAGCCAGCATCTACCATAGCAAGACACTAGACATGGTATAACTTCAGTAAGAGATACTTAGAACTCTCTAGGATACAGGGACAAGCTACTACGAGTCCAAAAATGCCAATTTCAGGTATTCATATGAAAATTACAGCAGGCCAAAGTAGTATCACAAGTAGTGAGACTCTCGAGTAACTACCAATCCTGTAGAGACTTGCCAGTTTTAGTGTGTTTTGGTTTTTAAACCAGCAAGATCTAGTCTTTCAAGGGTCTGGTTTTGTTTGCTTTTTCCATCCCCCTTTAAATTGCAGAACTGTTACGTTAGTTGCAGAGTCACAGACATAAGGGAGCACAATGTCAGAATAAGAATTCCCCAGAAAACCTGATGGTTCTATTTCTTCAAAGGCCAGGAGGATTCAATGACACAGAAGCCTACTGCAGATCTTTAATCAGGTCCACGGTAGCCTAGTTTATGGTAAGAATAACTTTATTTGCCTGCAGATAATGGAGTATATCCAAAAGGAAACAGTAATTCACATACCAAAGGTACTGAGGAGCCAAAGATGAGCAATTTTTCCCATAAGGTCTTTGGAGAATTGTGTTTCATTCATTCATCCTGAGCAGAAGGAATGGCTGTGCTCATTAAAAACATTCAGATTCTGAACATTCCTGAAGCTACAAGAAGTTCTTGCAACCCGTGGCTGGATGGACATGAAGCACAGGTAAGAAGAGCAAAAGACCCTGGGCCAAAGTCTCTAGCAGGACTTGAAGCCAACTCTGGCCCATACCAGACTGTCCTGGTTAGAACAGCTGGAACCAGTTCATCACTGGATGGGTGTAACCCAAAGCTGTGTATTCTATAGCCTTCCATGCCATTTCCCAGAAACTGTTATCAATAGACTATTTACACCTTCTGCCCAGAGCAGCCTGACTTCTCAGGCTATAAACTAGGTGTTAAGAGGCCTGCGAGATAGGAGGGTGCCTTCTTGTCCTCACACTCTTTTTGTGGAACTACCCCCCCCCTCCCCCGAAGGGAAGTACTGAGCATTCCTGCCTGAACTGGAGAATATATAATCTTGGAGTCTTGGAACTTTTTTAAGCACTCGTGGGATCCAAAGGAAGACTGCAGATCATTGCTCTCAACCGGACTGCAACCACCACTCTCGACTGGACTGCAACCACCACTCTTGACCAGACTGCACCAGCACTCTCACCAACAGGTTTTCCCCTCTCCTTTTACTTTGACTCAGGGGGCCCAAAGAACACCACTCTGTTCATGCCCCAGGGTGCTGGGTTATACATTTGGGTTTTGTGGGTTAAAACCAATTGTTTGTCTGTATAATCGTACTTATTGTATTATTTTATTAAATTGTTATTCTGACTTATAATCTCTCTTTTGAGTTGAGTTCATTTCCCCTGCTGGTTTACCTTTAAACCAGCACACAGATGCATTGTTAAGATCAGCGTGGAAACCCAAGGCCACCGGAAGTAACATGAAGGTTCCAAAAAATAAAGACCTATCATCCAAGATGAACTGTCTACAGATGCAACACTGCCCCACCTCATGCAAGTGAGCTCAGACCCCTGGCACCAAAGACAAAAAAAGCAGTACAACTGGGAGAGCTGGCTGGAAGCTGTAGAACTAGCAGGATTATGCTTCTCTCAGCCCACATATGGATGCTGCAGCAGCCAGTACCAATGTAAATGCTAGCAGAGGCAACCAGGATTCTTGGAGAAGAATCATCTCCTTGGCAGATGAGATGGAACACACAGTGCTGCGTAAATATCTTTAAAAGTCCAGACCAGATGACTGAAAAGGTGTTTCTGAGTCAGGAAACTGTTCTGAAAGTTCCCTTCTGACAGGCAAATACAGCTTGGGGATGATGAGGCTTCCTCTGGTGTTGGGGGGTTTTTTGGTTATTTTATAAACCATCTCCAGCTCGCATTCAAAAGAGAATGAATTCCACAGAGCTCAAGGGAAACTGCTAAGATGACAAAGAAGAACACATGAAGGGAACAGCATTCTTCAGACACCCCAGGAATAAGTCACCTGTTCAGGACAGTTGATAACCCACAACTCCACAGCAATCCAGAGAGGACAGACGCACTTCATCTTGCCAAGGTCATGCAAGAGGAACTGAGGACCACACAATACACTTTAGCAGGGGACAGCAACTAAAACAAAGAGTTACTGCTAGGGCAAGACATGTATGACCTTGATTACTTAACAGCACACAAGTATCCACGCTTGTCCATATGCTGAATATGAGCAGGTGCTTGAAGAACATACTCTTTCTATATACAATACAAACTTACACAGGCTTAGAATATCTGACACTGCAGGTTACCCAAGTCATATGTTCTACATACAAGCATATACAGTTCTACACCAACTGAAACATTCCATTTCACTGTAACAGGGCTCGCAGCCATCTTCATTAAGCACAGCTCAGAAAAATACATTATCTGACTCAGTTTTAAATAATCAATGCCTGTAGATTGGTTTTTAAACACTCACTATTGAAAAAAGCATTGCTATAATTCATTTCTAACACATTTTCTTAAGGTGAAAAGGTAAATGAGACATGGGTAGGGCTCCTCCTTGCCCTGCAGCAAGGCATCAGGGAGGCCATGTGGATGAAAGTCATCATGAATGAAAGCCTGAGGAAACCAAACTCCAGCGCTGCTTTCACTGAATTGCTATTATTTTTATCAGCCCTATACTGCTAAAAAGTGTACATGCTACTTCCTTCATAAACCTCATATATATATATTTCAGCAGTTTAGCCCACTAAATGATACTTATTACTAAAAATAAGCAGCATGTTTGAAGCCTGAGCCTTCATACTTACTTAAATTATACAAACAAGCTGTGGATAAAACAGAAGTGAAGACTGGAGATACATGCTGGCTTGCATAGAGTCAGACATAACCAGGGGCATGATTAGTAACTAGACTTCTGTTTCTATATTTAAAGAAAAATGAAGATTCCCACACAAGTGGAGAACTAATTCTCAATATTGTCAGCACCATGTGTTTCAGAGACTGACATCACAGATGAATTTTTAAAGGTTTAGTTCTAACAGCAAGGTAAGAATCACTTGAAAGCTTTTATTAATCATAAAGTTAGGGTTTTAATCATAAAGTAACAGAAAGGGCCCAACTCTAACTTGTTAGAAACACACAGAACTGTGTCCTTCCCGGGTTCCTGAAAAACACTTCAAATTGTGACTAGCACTGACAATTGCTTGCTTTCATATTCAACTGAAGAAACAAGGTGCGAGGGGAAAGGAACTATTCCCTCCAAAACTCCCCTAAAAGCATGGGAGATGCATACTTAGTGAAACCATGAAAGCAATGACAGACAATAGTTGGCCTTATTCACACAGATCTACATCATGATGTTCTACAAGAAGCATAATGAAAACATTGTTTTCAAAGTGGATATTGTTTAATCCTGTCAGCCTGACAGTACAAAACCATCACAGGAGAATGAGTAACCTTGTAACTGCAATAAAGGAAAGGATGAGGACCATCACGTCTGATAGAGCCAAACACAAGAATGGATACGAAGCCAGTGCTTCCCACAGTAAAAAATCTGAAATACAGATCTAGTCAGGAGATCAAACACCAAATCCCCATAATTTCAGACTCCCTACCAATAGATGTGTGCAGTATACAAAGTCTCCAGTATATCAGGGCCTATGATACCGCTGTACTGGCAATAAAACACAGTAGCTAGGACTTCAGGGAATCCCTTAAGGCAACAAAACCAAAAAAGAAATCAGGTGAAAAATTGAACTCCCTGCCCATTACTCAGTTAGTAGTTTTCATAGACAGCAGTACCAGAAAACTGCTCCTGTAAAATATTAGAAAAAAAAAGAAACTTATTCATCTTATACTTGATTCCACAATCAGGTTGCAATTCTACATTTTGGTATCAGTAATCTGTTACAATGTAACATTGTGGTGACTTCCCTCGGAGTAAGTAAGTGCACAGAAAGTCACTGTCCATGCCAGTAGGCCAATGGCAAAAAAATCGAGTCCTACCACAACCAAATGACCTTGAGACAGAGCCTCCAGAAGAATTTTAGTTAGCGCCAAAAGCATCTATAGGAGCAAGTGTTTCTGCTACAGACTAAACATAGTTGCTTCCCAAGTATTTAATTAGTTAAGCCAGAACATTTTACAGTTGTTCTCAGACTGATTGTTCTATCATACCCCACCCTTGACCTGCATCTTCTCCCTTTCCCTAGGCAGGTAAATGTACATTTTGCTATTTATTAGGCAGGGTATACCACCAACACTTTCCTAAATGAGCATATCAGTGCTCCCCCAGAGTCACTGAATCTTTGAAACCTAACTCCTAAAAATACTGTCCCTTAGTTGATGTGTTTTATGAACACAAAAATTCCACTGGTTTACTATAAAAATGAAATCAAACAAAAAACATACCCTAAATGTACTTAAAGGAGTACAAAAGTAATGCAGATGTGAGTTTAAGTCATTAAATTCTGTCTACTAAATAAAATTGATATAAAAAAGCTACACGAAAAAATACTATCTTGTCAAAACTCTGCATCTGCTTTAATAAGACATGAAGTGACCTGAAGAATCAGGACCATCCAAGTTGACAGAAGTACTTCTCTACCCGTTCAGTGCACCCACCTCAGCCTTCACAAGTGGAAAAAAAAGGCTTGGAGGAGGGGGTACAAAATAAAATTAATGTGCACTAGGAAATGCAGGTGTTGTGAGGGTGGGCAGTCTAATACTTCCTATTGTACTAGTTTGTTACATTATCTAAGAAAAAAATGAACATTTCCAGCCATTGTTGAAATAAAACTCCAAACAAGACTGTTACTGATCACTTTTATGTTCTTAAATGGCTGGTTTTGCCATAGACAATGTAATTATAGCAGGCAGCCGTAACAGACAGAATTTTCCTCCCCAAAGTTTAGTATTATATAATATACATTAAGCAACTTGTGACATATAAAAATACAACATTGGAACTTACAGTATGTAACAAAATCCTTCTGAAAATCTTTCCTAGAGTCGACAAAGGCTCTTCCTTTTTCAGTTCCAACTACAAACACATCTGTTTCATACAGAGCAATACAGGCAACTTCTGCCTTGGACTTGGTAAGTTCTTTACACTATAAAAAGAAAAAGAAAAAGTTTTTATTACTATAGTTAAGATACAGTTAACAGAAATGTATGTGATATTATGCTGCCAGCATCCACCTTCAGAAGGTACTAGAAGCAACATAACACCAGCCAGTAGCAAAGCACAATTTACACACCTGGAACGCTTTTCGTCAGAAATCTTAAAAGCACTGTAGATGCATTAGTGAAATTAAGCCCTTGTCTAGAGTCAGATATTGCACTGTTTCTAATTAAAATTATTTATGACATCAATTCATGTGAAATTATCACTTTCATGTTAATCATCCTGAGTGTCTTACTCCAACTCCTACTTTCAAGAAGCATACAGGAGTTTTGTTCATTCACAGCACACTTCTTGCACACCATGTTCTCTTCAGAACGGTGTGGCTGCAAGCAGGATGGCTGCCTGCATTCTGCCTTGTCCTGACTGCTAGGCCCAGGTTTAGGTGAATTCCTCCTGAACCAAAGGTCTCGACCATCCCTGCAGACACCTACATGTGTTCTGCCAGGAGAAATTTGTGGCAAGAATTAAGGCAGGAAGCCTATGGAGAGAACAAAGATCCCAAGAAAATTGGTGAGATGATCAAGAAGTGATAACAAAAAGTCAGTCTCTTCTAGCAACTCAATCAGTTTGCTGCAACCTATACTGCAGCATGTGAGGAAAAAGTGACACAAGGACTTTAAGAACCTAATATACCCAATGGGATAAAAGGCTTTCAACCCATTATCTTGTAACCATCCCATTCAAAGTTTCATTGCTAAAAAGAAAATGCTTGGTTTTGCTTATCATTTAAAAAAACAATTTTAAAGAACCACATCTGTGGCAGTGTCTCAACTTCAAGGAAACAGGGCATTTCCACTCACAGTCCTGGTCGACCTTAAACCGCACCACATAGTAATTAGGTAACTCCTACAAAACAGGTGATATGCCAATTTAAAAAGAATATTTTCTGAACAAGTTTTGTTGAGTTGGTACAGCAGCTGAGAACAAGGCATTAGCCTCAAAACAATTTATTCACTCCACATAACAGATGACAAAGATCAGAACACACTCTTTCCTTTAAACCACGCTGTACCTGAGCAATCAACAAATATTTCCTATTTATTCGACAAAATAATTTTTAAAACAACCACCACAACAAGAAACAAGATGACTGTTAGTATGATTTACCACAAGCAGAGACAGAGTAATGGCTGGTTGGACAGCACACAATAAGGTACAATCCACCTTTCCTGCTGCCCAGCGGGAAGCAATATACTGCTGTAGTCCTGCAAATGCTAAGACAGAGTTATGATGCAGCAGATTAATTTCTCTACTAACCATTGACTCAAGTCCTGACATGAGGAATTTAACCACCATTCTGCTTTCTAAGGATTCCTCATCATGGATGGATGCTGCTGGTGCGGTAGCTTGAGCCATTTTCCTCCTATAAAATGAAAGAAAAAAACTTTTCAGATACACACAACAGTCAAGAAAACCTCTCTTATGCAAGCAGAGGAAAAAATAAATTCAAAACCCCACAGAATACAGCCCACTACACACATGCAACAAAACAAAGAGGTAAATTAACAGGAGAAAGTGCTTGCTCTTCTATTCTTTCATGCTTCCTGCTGTTTTATAAAAGCAGAAGCTAAAAACTCAAAAGTTACAATGTTGTGCCATGACCAGGCCACAAACCCTTCGTACCTAGAAAGATGCATATTAATTGATTAGCTAAATTTACATAAATTTCTCTTTCTAAGTATGTTTGCAACTCCAGCAGTCTAGATAAACACAGCAACAAACACTGGCAGTAACATACAGAAATGGTAAATCATAATTACGATTCAGGTATTAGAACAATCTTACCTGTAATTATCATGGCCTATTTCAAAACAAACCACCATCACACTGCCCCAAAATCACGCCTCAGAGACTACAGTATCAGTAATCAGAACATGACATGCTTATTCGCATATTCTTCAGTTGTAGGATTAACTCAAAGTTAAGTAGTCCCAATTAAGGTGCCAAAATTACAAACTGAATTTCAGCAGTGACACAAAAAAGAGATTTAAACTGTTTTCCTGTAGGTCATTCAAGAGACTTTCAACTTTTTTAAGACATAAGTAATAATCAAGACTAGTTTACGTTTCTGTTGGTAGTCTCTAACACTGTAATTTTACTATTAGAAAGCAGGCATTTATTCGGCGCAGGGTTCATAGGGGATCTCTCCTCCTAACACGCACATCCTCAGCACATCCCCAGCATCTAATGCATCAGCTTATATCTATGTAACTAATACACATTCATTACATTTCCTGGAGCTCATACACATATGCTAAACATTCCCATGAATTCTTTAACACATTTAAATCACTTCTCAGAACTCATTTAAATTAGAGTAGGGGTTTCTTGAGGGTCTCTGGTTGCTGTTCAGGGAACATTCCATTCCTCAAATCATCCTTTTATGATCATCAGCTTCCTAAAAACAGTTTCTTCTCCTTGAATGCATTCCACCTATGTGGTCTGGCCAATGATGCCAATTTTATGCCCCAAAAAGGCGCAGAGAGACTGCTCAGAGACAGAGTTTTTAGTCTATAAGCAGGAGGGTAATTATTGCCAATCAACATTGGGGAGCTCCCAGCTCGCACTGGACAAAAGAGCTCCAAAGCAGGCAGTGAACAGCTGGAATATTTATACAATTCTTGTTGGGAGATGACATCATTTTACATGAATATTCATAGTATTGCAACATCTAGTTATAATATTCATAACAGGTGGAGTTAGGGTGGGGTCAGGGGCATGGTCTTCATTTTGGGGAGTATCTTGGTGGTACATCCGGTTATTTCGGCCTCAGGGGTCTTGATTTTACTCCTCTTACTCAGGTAAACTCTTGAACTCTTGAACTCTTGTGCCTGACTTCACATGTATTTGGCAGGAGTTTCTGATATTCGGCAAGAGTGCCTAGGCTTTGACTCTTCTCCTTTCCCTTATCTCCCTCTGTTTTTCTTCCATATGTCTGTTTTATGTGTATGCTAGCATTCTTGGTTCTCTCTGTTTTCCTGTGTACTTTACTTTATGCTCTTTGGGTCAGTGTGTTCAGTATTCCTTAATGAGTTCTTATCTCCGTTGTTCTTGAAACTCAGTTCCCTATGCCTTTGCTCAGAGCATGCATTCTAAGTTAACTCTCTAGGTCTTGTTTTGCTACACTACATTAGCTTTTCAGGCCTTGCTCTGCTTCACCAAGATACGCCTTTTTATCAGCTCTTGCTCAGGCACAGTCTTAATTCTCAAGGCTAAGATATTCACTTCCACACATGGGGGAATACAGGACTAGGCACTGTCTGTTAAAGGAATTCACAAGACTAAGCACTATTAGCTACAATTAAAGATTTTTTCCAACACCATTACCAATGCTACACAAAAAGGCCAATTTAAGAGCCATCCTTTCAATAGCGTACCACTTACGATATATCTAATAATCTTAAAACTTCCAGATCAGTTAATATTAGTTATAATTATCTCTAAATCCTTTAGTTTAACTTTGCCAAGATGAGCCTTTGCCCAAATAAAGCCTTGTAACAATGAACAAAGCCTTGCACAATACATTCCTGCCTGTGGTTTAACCCCAGCTACAACTCAGCCCCAAACAGCTGCTTGCTCACTCCCCCCATACTGGGATGGGGGAGAGAACTTGAAGGGCAAAAGTGAGAAAACTCACAGGCTGAGACAAAGACAGTTTAATAGTGAAAGAAAAAGCTGCACAGAAAGCAAAACAAAACAGGGAATTCATTCCCACTTCCCATCGAAGGCAGGTGTTCGGCCATCCCCAGGACAGCACGGCTCCAGCACATGTAATGGTGACTTGGGAAGACAAACGCCACTCTGAACATCCACCCCTCCCTTCTGCCCCCTGCTCTGGATGCTGAGCATGACTGCACCCGGTCTGGGATATCCCTGGGGTCGGTTGGGGTCAGCTGGCCCACATGTATCACCCCAACCCCTTGTGTGCCCCCAGCCTCCTTGCTGGTGGGGCAAGGAGCAGAAAAGGCTCTGTGCAAACACTGCTCAGAGATAATGAAAACATCCCTGAGTTATCAACAGTTTCCAGCAGAAATCCAAAACATGGTCTCATACCAGCTACTGTGAAGAAAATTAACTATCTCAGTCAAAACCAGCACACTGCCTGATGAGAAGGCCATGAAAATACAGAGTTAAAAAAAAATCCCTGGATTTTCCTTTTACAAGGAGAAAACCAAAGACCAAATGTTACAACCCACCCCTAAAGGCGGAGTAATTGAGGTTCTTGTTAACAGATCCCTTGGGGTGGTTTAGAGTGAAATGACACTGAATGACCAGTGTTATATATATGCATATGGCAGCTTTATTTTAGAACAATTCGGTTGCAATGCAAAGGAGGTATCTAGCCATTTTGGTCATTATAGTAATATAACAATATAAAAGTACAACGATATCACTTAAGAAAACATATAAGGAAAAGAAAGAAAGCAGAAGAAAGGATAAGAGCAGATAGTGGAAAGATATCACCACCCATGGATCCAGCAACAAGACTTGATTGTCACAATTTTAGAAGTTCGTTGTGATGCCCGAAAAGGCGCAATGGAACTGTTTAGAGACAGAATTTAGCCTTTAAACAGCAAGGTATTTATTTAGGCAACGTTGGAGAGCAAGCCAGCTCGGGCTGGACAAACTTGCTCTGCCTTCTCAGTGAAAAGAGACATGATTATATACAATTTCTACGAGGGATTACAACATTTTCACATACATATTCATATAATTGCAACATCTAGTTATAATATTCATAATAGGCGGAGTCTGGGTGGAGTCTGGGGTGGAGTCGTCTTTTTGGGGTGATGTTCGGTGGTTGTTCCTGTTTCTTCAGCCTCACGGGGTTGTATTTTCACTCTTCTTCCTCGGCTGAACTCTTCAACTTTCTTGATTTTCGCTGACTCCATGGTGAATTTTGCAAGACTGGACTCAAGCCCCTATTTCACCCCTTATCTATTCGTGTTCTTACCCTATCTTTATTTATGTAGGTGTGTGAGCATTCTTTTGGTGTACGGTACCATCTAATCCCTAAGCCCTGGTTTCTGTCTCTAGCTAAGCATTACATTCTTCTGAGCAGGAGGGTCCCCGGATCAGTATTGAGAGTTAACTCTTTAGGCCCTAGCTCCGTTTCAGTTGATCAAAGTGATGGTTGCAGTCTTGATCCATCACAGGTGGGGAAAGCCCATGAAACACAAAGTTCAGTGGGTTAATATACATTCATTTCGGGGGGAACACCCAGGTACCTCATCTGAGGCAGGAAGTTTTAGGCTTTCTGATGCAACACTGTGGGTCATGCACAGTCCTCTTGGGCAAGGCCCCAGAAATTAGTCTAGGGGTGCTTCAAGGGTCTTTGATGATTTATGGCCCCTTCTAAGACATGACCACTGTGTCTCACACCATCATATGTAGCAGGATGCTCTGCCTTGTTAAGGCTTATCTGCCTTGGCCCAGAATCTGGTCAGAGGATCCAAACAAACCAAGCTCTGTGGTGAGCTACTCCTGGTGCCATGGTGCTGCTTTTACCAGCCCAATTTACCATCTGCAAACACACATCCTGCTTTTTGAGGCGAGATTTGACAGCTAAGCTGCTAGCTGACCTGGAGATACATGACTGGCAGTCAATCACTTCATATGGCAGATTCTTTTACAGACTTTCTTGAAGTGTGTGCAGCTTCTCCCGTGAAGCAGGGGCACCTCTTCATGGCCACTCCCCATGGGTTAAGTGGTTACAGAAACCAGCCAAACAAGCAAAGGAGGTGCGGTTACACAGCAAGGTAAAAGATTGCGCATACCCTCAAAGGAGTTCATGAAGCGGTCACCTAGAACTTTGGGGACTCCAGATGACCACCAGAGACCCTCTGTGAAGCCTCTCAGACACCTTATAAGGATATGTATATATGCTAATTAGTGTTCTGAAATGTCATGAATATGTAACAGGATCTCAGGAAACAAAAATTAATGCATCTGGCACAGTAATAAAGAATGCCTGCCTTGCAGGTTTCTTTAAGACCCAATTTTTGGCAATTTTTTCACCACAGCACTGAATAAAGTAATGTTGGTTTTCTAAGCTATCAAACTAGTTAGAGAGTTTATTTCCCGGTTTTTAGTGATAAGAGCAAGGAGCCCTAAGAAACAAAGCTCTGATGGGAAACAGCTGGTGCTCAGCACTCCCAACAGGACTGAGTCACAGGAAACCAGCAGGACTTTGCAGGTGGCAAAGGGTAGGGTAGGGCAGCTGTAAGACACCCCCAAACCCAAGGATAATTAATTCCCTTTTTTCTAGGTAATTTTATGATACTCAGCATCATATGATGACTTTTTAGTCAGCCTAGATGGCAACTACGTCTGCTACTCTTAAGAACCATTATAAGAGTAAAATACAATCCAGCAACTGTTATTTGAAAAGCACCTCTGATGTCACTCAGTCCTAAACTGGCACAATGTTTGCAAAGAGATATTTATATCTGATTTTCACTTTTTCTACAGATTCCAATGTAGACTAACATATAATTAGAAAATTTTAGACGAAATTAAAACGCAGTATCTAACTATACACCTCACAAGGCAACAATAAAAAAGTGAATGTATTACTCAGTTTGGAGTAGTAAAGAAACCATTAGCATAAAATTCAGTTTCTGAATTAAAGCCAGACATTCTTCTCAGGGAAGAATTCATTTGGTTTTTAAGTATGCAGTGTCCTACTGCATCACCTAGGCATTCATAAATTACACTGATATCATGTAAACAAAATGAAATATTAATCACAGCAGTCCTGACCATCTGATAATTTCTATCTTTACCAGTGTAATTATATTTACTTAGACAACTACAACAACGA